AAACATTCTAAATTTTTTTCTTTTCTCTATTTTTCAATACTTTAATACATTTTTCTAAGGATATTATTTTTTTCTTCAAATTATCAATGCATTTTTGTTTATCCTTAAACTTAGGGTATTCAAGAATATCTACATTTTCATTTGTGAGTTTTATTTCAAAATCATTAAGTTTGATTTATTATTGTCATTATAATTTACTTTCGGCACAGCATTCCACTTCAACAGTTTCTTTTTGTGGCTATCCAAACAAGCGATTTTTCATATCATCTTCATAAAACACTGCATAGAAAATGTTCGCTGCAGATTTTTTTTTTTCCGCTCTTCACATTAATATAATCTTGTCTTTGACATTTGTGTATCCATTCTTTTCGTCAAAAGCAAAATCTCATTTGGATCCTTTGGTCTCCATGAAGTAAAATATCTCATCCTTTCGTACTTCTGTACTTTTGTGAGTGCTACTACGGCACGTCTACTACAGCGCAAAAAGCCATATTACGTAAACGATACTTTACAATATAGAATTTAAAATAAAAACTGATTAAAATTACATATATATAAATTATTTTAAATATATACATTATTAGAAAAACAGATATAATATATGATTAAAATTAATTTGGGATATGTAACCTCTAGAAAATCGTCTCGCAGCTGAATGAAACTACAGTTTTAAACGCGGGAAATCAGAACAGGTGGCATCACAGTGACGTCAGATTGCTGCCTGTCAAGTCCCCCCATTAGGCTCGCGTCGGCGAGGAGTCGAACAAAGAAATGAGCTAGCCCTTTCTATTTATCCCTGCTTTTTATTACTGAATCAGTAAACGCTGCCATATTCAAAGAGAAAATTTACCTAAATTCACAAATACGAAAAATCTGGACCTATCTCTTTAAAAGTATTAAATATTATTATGAGTAACATATGAAAAAACGTTAAGGATCAGTGCAACGTCATAAAATATGTAAGTATAAATTTCCGGAAGGAAAATTTGGAATATTTCCGAAACATTTAGAAGAAAAATTTTAGAAAGTTAATTAGCCTTCTTTTAAACTTTTTTATATATGTTAAAAGACCATTTTTGATACATCGCTGCAAATTCAGAAAAAAAAAATATCCACATAAAGTTGACAAACAATGCCATCATTACGTTTTGCGAAGGTAGATCCAGTGAATCATATTTAGCAACAGTAATGAAAATAGATCTTCACATGCAGTACTAAAACATCATTTCATTGAAAACAATTTGTGATATGCCAGTGATGCAATTAAGGACATAAAAAATATTCGTATCTTTAAAAGAAAAAAAGAAAAAAACTTTCTGCTCAGCCAGATAAAGGAACATTCGGAAGTATAAAATTAAAATACAAATAATAAAATAAACTATATGGAGTTCTCGATAATAAAGCAATGAACGCACAAAATGTAGTCTTCAGCGATCACATCTTCCCACCCAGTATATATTTAATACCCTCCCTTTTAGCAGCTTGATAATTTCTGCTTAAACATTCACTTGGGACTTACCGATGAACCCACCAGTCACTCGGCCGTCTAAGAAGATTCTAGATAACAATAATTTTTCTCTTTCGAAATTCTTAAAAGAAACTTATATTAAATATCGTTAATATTAACATTACTTTTTATGATAACATTACTTTTTATGATGCGGATTCAGCAATTATACTCAAGGATAAGTTCCGCCCCGCATAAATCATTCATTAAAGGGAAAAAGTATATAATAATAGAATATACATTGTCTACCGTATACAGTTCCGTCTTCTTAGGGAGCATAAACTAGACCTAAATTCTAAAAAACTAGTGGCGATTTATCGCTAAGTACCACAGAGACAGGGAAAGGACGTAAAGAACCCTTTCATTAACTCATTAAAGTTAAACAGACGGCACCAACTCGTGCTTACAGCAACTAACAGTTATGGAAGAATACTATGCGCAAGAGCAACGTGGCTCTCAAGCAAGCAGAACAGGCTCTAAATCTACCTTCTAAAACCTTGCTTTAACTAGTCTCTCATTTCTACCTCATTTGAATATTGCGCGACATTACATTCTGACACGAAAATGGGAATGAGATCGATAGGAAGGAATATTAACATAAAATAACTGGTTAGAAACCTAAACGACACTTTACAACCGAATAAAACTGCAACAATAACAAACAAAGGGAGTTGAACTCCGGAACACTAAGTCACAACATGTCCACTAACAACTAGACTACATATACCTATCCCGCAGACCAATCGCAAAGCGTTCTGTAAATTTCTTATAAAGCAACGTCATCTCATATACAAACTAACGAAAGTAATGAATAAACTCTCTGCGCTTGGCACAGATCTGTGTCAAACAGCCTAAAGGTGTGCAGCAGCCTACAAACATACTATTAAGGTCAATGCAAAACAAACAAAGGGAACAGTAATATTCCGGAAATTCACGGGCATCAGTACTTATGTGCAGCAAGGGCCCACTTTACCATTCGGCCGGTGGTAGCAAGGGCCCACCACCAGCCGAGCGGTAAAGTAGCTGAATACTCGTTGTTCTGTCCGAAGTTCGAAACCTGCGAATGGGCTGGCTGCATGGGCGTTTTCGTGGCTTTCCCCGTAATTTGTATACGAGCCTTCCCTTAGAAAAGTCATACTAAGGCATCTCTCCTCTTAGGCAAATAGCCCTCGAGTGCTTTACCGTAAACAAATAAACCAAACCAAAACAAACTTATGTGTAGCAAAAAAAATAATTTTTCCCCGAAAAAAAAGTACATCAGACAAAATTATTTTTTAACAATGCATTTCGGTACCTGTCACTGTCCTGAAGCATCTAAATGTCGTACAGTGTTTCCTCAACCCACTGAAAAAGATTTGCTCTTATTCAGGACGTTCTATCTAAGCCTTTTACATAGGTGCGATGATATCCTACAGTTTTCAATAGGAGATAAATCTAGCGCTCTGACAGGCTATGGTAACATGGTGGTACCTTTATATATTTCTCAAGAGGTTTTCTGGATATGGACCTGTCTCCCCCAGCTGAAATGCAAGGGCTGATTACACCGATTATGAAAAGGAATCTATACGTTCTAAAATATTCTAATGAGTAGTTGTAAATTACCATGCAAAGTGGTATGCAAGCCAGCACCGAAGGAGATTAGATAATCTATAAGATGTTTTCCCACAGCATCATACCCTTTGTTCTGAGCTGTGTACCTTTGATATATACAGCTGGATAATCTCATTCATCACGTTGGTACTACACGCATATTTGTCCATTGTCGGAACTAGCACAAAAACCGGATTCGCTTGATAACCTGAGGATAACTTGATGTCACTCTGCATTCCAAGTCACTCGCGCACGGCACCAGTCCAAAAGTAAGCGATTATTTTAAGCTATGAAGAGGTGGACAAGCATGCGACACAACTGGCCCAAGGCAAGTAAAAATCGTTTGCCTGGTGATGGATTGAGTCATGATATCACCAATCGTCTGACAATTGTCAGAAAAGCATTAGGAATGCCAGAACTTCATTACGTTCGGCAGTCACTTTTCGTGCTCCAGACACCATATGAAGAGTTAAAGACTTTCCTTTAGCATATCTAAACATAACGCTGAACCATCATGCTATTTTTACCTAGTTTCCCCCTGTAAGTCCTGTCTACTAATCAGCCTCGTATTATAAGTCAAATCATAAGATTGTCTAACTTAATAGATATGCATGAAACGTCTAACGACCCATCCGAGTGAATTTGCATTATATCAGCTAAAGAAAACACGAGACTACTGCGTAACGTTGATGGTTTGCATACCTACGACGACTATAACCCAAGTTTATCAAAAGACAATTACGGGCTGCGGTTTTGTGCGTAAATGCCATTAAATTATACAAACTACGATATTTCATTCCATCAATGACTATTTCTTTGGTGCGAAAATGTTCCTGCTTTCGATTTGCACGGAAATCATGTGTGCGAAAGTGCCCCTAATTTTTCGTGAAGGGTTTTCGAAGAGAAACTGGATCATATTTATGCTACACGTGGGGAGGGGCGGACAAGAAAACACCAATGCAATCAGCCCATTCACCACAGTTTGAATCCGGATCGAATTATCCAATCTTATCCACTCAGCCAATGAAGGACGATGGTCAATGGTGACGACCGCTATTGAGTAAAAACATGCTACTACATATCACTCATTTTTCTGCAATTCAATGCCATAATTCAAATACGTATTTTATTACTTTAAATAAGAAGTATTTCATATGTTGTGAACGCAGAGTCAGACAAAGTACGCTGGCTGTAAGTGTTAAATGAAAGTCTAAATACTCTGCCAACAAGCATATTTTCCTAGACTTTCTGTCAAACAAGTTAAAATATGCTTGTAAGATGAACTGGAAAAAAAGCAGCAATAATCTGGGCAAATGTGCAGTTCTTGGGAATTTTTCTTGCATTAAAATCCATTATGGTGCTCTATTTTTTCATGCAGTTTTTATACAAAAACTACTTGTTGGAAGTGTTAAAGAAGGGCTAAATATTTTTGCTACTATGCATATTATTGCACATTTACCGTCAATAATTAGTAAGTTACTATACTGTTAGATGTGCTAACGAAGGCCAGCAATAGTCTACGAAAATGTATTAAAAGTTCTTGGACAGTAAAATTAATTACGGTGTTTTGTTCTTTTGCAATTTTTGTGAATAAAATGCAATTGCACGGCATCGCAGGCAACAATTTATTCACGTTGGTAAAATAAGCACTAACACGTGAAAATAAATTTCGCAAATGTTTTCTTTCGGCCAGTACTGCTACGTTAATAATTCACAAAATTTAACTATAAGTAAATGTTACCTTCTTTCCACCTTAGGGGGAAAAAAGAAAAAAAAACATACATCTTATACCCCTCAAAAAGGGAAGATTTGCAATGAGTGGAATACCAGCAAGACAAAAGAAAAATTCGACGGGAAAAAATCAAAAATAAATAAATAAATAACGATAAAAATTTCTACTTACTTCTTTGACAGTGTTGCAAATATGTAGACCAAGTCGAACATTTCGGTTGAGAACATCTTCGTTTAATAGTTCATCTTCCAGACTCTTTAAAGCATCTGGAACAAAGTAAATGACAGTTAATACTTGATAATTTATTGGGAAAATGTTCATTAGTTAATCACAAATTGCAAACGGAAACCACTTCATTGAAACTCTTCTTTTAAAAACCACTTCATTGAGGCTCTTTTTTTCCAAACAGGCTCTTCTTTTAATACAGCGTTTTGTTTTCTAAGAACTATAACAAAAGATGTGCTACTCTGTTTTTAACAAGATGGCTACAATAACTGAATTAAAATCGACAATTTAATAAAAAAATAAACAGTGACTAAACTAAACAGGAAACAAATTTTATACTTTTTCCCTATACGCAAACATGTTTTTTCAAGTGCACAGTTAAAACTTGTAAAAAAGAGGATAATATTAGGGACTTTCTTAAACGGGAAAGCGAAAGATAGTCTTAAGGATGATACACATTCATCACATGAAGTAATTCTGTAAATTCGAAATTTGGATGCTTTATTCGGCAGTGACGTTTTAAATTTCATAAACTTTTTTTGAGCACAGGAAAAATTAGAACTCGCTTCATTCGTCGGAAGTACAAATGGATTTAATGATTTTTGCTGTTTAAAGAATTCGTTTTCTGTTTAAAGAATTCGCTGTTTAAAGAATTCGTTTGCCAATAAGAATTTAGCAAAGAAATATTATTTTATCCCAATTTAATGAAATGCCAAAATTTTAATCGTTTAAAAAATTCTTATTAAAATTGTATTAAAGTTTTAATTTAATTAAATATAATTTAATTAAATATCTTATTAAAGTTTTTTTTCTCTCTTTTGCAAAATGTAAATTGGCTCCTGGATATCGGAATATTCGATTATTTAGAATAAAGTATAGAATATTTTATTCTAATATATTATACAATTACTTACTATAAAGACTGGAATCGTTTAGTAAGTCTGACTAATAGTCAGAAGAATACTGAACGATTTAGTAATGAACTCTCAAGTTATGACATTTAAAGTCAACGAACTCATTGCCTCAATTATCACCTCTTCCGCTACTCATTTGCCTCAGCGAAGGTTTCTCCTACCCTCGTCTCAGGTAAAAGAGCTGTTGAAAGACTATTCTCGTCCCATTGTGATTACTTCTTATTCATCTCCTCTATTCTTCAAACCCGTAACGGTTCTCTTTCGTTTATTTAGCTATTGCTTACTCTGAATCATTTGATATTTCTTAACGACGATGTGGAGGTAATTGCTTAATTAAGCAAAGGTACTCCGTAAGCCAGCGCCTTGGCCCTTGGTCCAATGAGCTTTGTCCACTATTTCACGGAACGAAGAGAATTACAGCACTTAAATCCTTGGTGCGATTAGATTTGTCTGCGATTTAAGGAACGAAGTGATATCAGGTATTTTCAATAAGTGTATAATAATAGTAAAGAAATTTATAAAAAGTAATATACAGTGGTGGCCAAAATTGTGGACACTTTTGGAAATTTTTATGTTTTTGAACTTTGTATGCTTATAGAAAACGTTACGTTTCACAAAATGCAAACTTGTGCATATCATTTTAAAGAGAATTTATTACTGAATTCAATACAAAACACAAAATTCAATTATTTGCAATACAAAAAAAGTTAAACGATAATAGTTATCGATATACATTAGACAGTGATGATTGCAGTGAATTATCAGTACTTAGTAGGGTACCCTTTATTTTTGATAACAGCTTCACATCGATGTTTCATTGAGCTGACAAGAGTTTTAAGCTCTTCTTTCGTTATTACATGATGCCAGGAAACAATTATAGCCTCAAATTAGTTCCCTTTTATTTGATGGGCGCCTTCATTCGGACAAGAGTTTTCAAACGGTGCCACAAATTTTCGATAGGATTGAGGTCAGGACTGTTTCCTGGCCATGACAACAATTTAATGCTCTCTGTACGAAACCACTCTTTTGATATTTTGGCCGTGTGGCAAGAAGCAGAATCTTGCTGAAAAATAAAAGAAGCATTGTTGGAAAAAGAGATCTCTGATGGAAGGTAGAAGTTTTGGTTCTAGAATAGTGTCAATGTATTTCCTGGCATTCAGTGTCCCATCGATGACATGAAGGCGACCAATACCATCTGCTGACATGCATGACCAAATCATAACACTAACTGGGTTCTTCACAGTTGCTTGAATGCAGTCAGGATGTAGCTCTTCTCCTATTCTACGTCTTACATATTTTCGCCCATCACTAACAAATAACGATATCTTAGTTTCATCACTCCATATAACTTGTGACCACTGATCATCTGTCCAATTAATGTGTTCCTTTGCCCACTGTAGTCTTTTTTCGTTGCTGAAAATTAAGATAAGGCTTTTTTCGTGGAATCTTCTTCCGATTGTTCTTGAACTGACAGAAACACAGCATCATTCAGATCACTTCTGATGGCCGCTGATGACATTTTTCTATCTTGGAGACATAGTCTTTTTATTCTTCTGTCATCAGTAGATGTGGTGCACCTTTTTCGGCCTTTACCTGCTTTGTTTTTTACTGAATTTGTCTCCTGATATTATAAACAAAACTTTCAGACTCCAGATGTAGTCACTGAACCACCCACCTGTCTTGCAATTTCAGCATAGGAAAGACCACTTTCTCGTAACACAATAATATTACATCTCTTTCTAGGTGTCCAATCTACTCTTTTATTTGATGTCATTGCTTCTTGACTAAATATTAAAAATTTTTACAAAAATTCCTACTTGTAATTGCAGTGTATAAGAAACAGGTCCTCCTTCTACAGAACAAATGATTAAATGAAAATAATGAATTGTTTCAAGTGTAAACATGATGTCAGCTTCTACTGGCAGTTACTAACATTTGATTGGTTCTCAGAACAAGAACAGTGATTGGCCAGGAAAGCTAGACATTACAAACCACTTCCTAACTGTGTTTTTTATTTATAATAAAGTACATATAACTTTTTGTATTGCAAATAATTGAATTTTTGTGTTTTGTATTGAATTCAGTAAAATTCTCTTTAAAATGATATATACAAGTTTGCATTTTGCGAAACGTAACATTTTCTATAAGCATACAAAGTTCAAAAACATAAAAATTTCCAAAAGTGCCCACAATTTTGGCCACCGCTGTATATATACTTTAATAAAAACAAGACTGTTAATACTAGGTGCAGCCTGATGTCTATCACAGAAGAGAACATTACCAGATGGTAAACAGAATTTGTTTAACTAGCAAGTTTTCAGATTACTTTATTTATCGAAGTTAATTTACGCATCACTGGGGAAAATTAAATAATAATAAAATGACTAGAATGTTAATGATATTGTGTTTATACCCGAGGTCCCGTTATTATATTTAAAAACAATTTTTTAAAAATCAGTTATGCTTTGATGTTAAATCAGGCAAGTTAAGACAGAAAGTCATAGAGTCTTATGAAAGTTCTAATTTCTTTAGTTATGCCTTTTATTTATTTACTCATTATTCCTTTAACTTTTCATGTCAGTGTAGGTTCCGACGTCGATTTCAGATTATTTACGTACGCTATCTTCCATTTATTCACTTTAATTCACTTTAATATGATCTCCATACCGATGACGTACCCAATTTTCCTGCATCGCTCAACAACTCTTTATCCCTTCCGTATCCTCAGATTTAACGAATAATCACGTTATAAGGAATTTTATATGCCTCGTAGTTAAACTGCATCGCGATTCGCTAAATCCGGATTCGATCAGACGTTAAATCTCTCCCAATAAATAACGACGGTGACAACAATATTCTTATTTGAGATACACAGAAATCAGGAACTGCAAGGAAATACTAAAAATAGGCACCTGTAACAATAAACGAAGGAAAATTCTAAGAAAACTACTATACGAAGATACAATAGATGAGCGTCATGGTTGCTATGTTACGCGCGGAATATGTTCAAATACAGAAATCTGATTCCCTGAATATTTTACTTTTTCTAAAGTTACTCCTCTGCCTTTTTGAACAGCTGAATATTCAATACACATGATTTTAGCACTGTAGTAGAACTTCTATTATCGATCAGAGAATGACCACGGATAACACAATATGTACATACAAATTTTACAGCTTTACACATATACAACAGATGGAATTTCAACTTTGTTTTATATTGTTTTACATCTTGAGTATATAGCGTGCCCTGAAAAATTGCCTGACTAAATACTTCTTGCACGGTTGGTTGTAAATTCATGAACAACATGATCTATTTTTTGTATACCTAATATCTCTAGATCACATGGATCCAAGCCTACATGAGATATTAGAAAAGAATCAAATAACGTATCCTTTCCTTCATACTGCAACAGCTTTGGTCATATGAAGACCTTTCAGTAAAAATGTACACAATTTATATTTATACACGGATAATTTATATTTATACACGGATTTTTTGTAAAGAAAATTTCAATTAGAAAGTCTTTAATTAGCTCTTTATCCTACTAAAAAAGTCTTAACTAAAACAAATTCTGTAATATGTAAAATTGGGCTAAAAATTTGTCAAAATTATGCGAGTTGAACAATTTTTTAATGGAAGCAAAGAGCAAACATCAGTTTTATGATCCATATAAAAAGAGGTTACATAAATACGTAAGACAAAAAATACGTAAATCAGCTTTATAATGTAATTTAGTAATAGCTTCTTAATTCCTTATTTTTAATTTGGGTATTTAATCTCTGTATTCTCAAAGTAGTAATAACTTCTCTGACTGCGCCATTTCTAGATTAAGCTATGCAACAGAGCTTACGTAAAGCGGATGACGTAACGTATTCGGAACTTGAACTCAAAATTTTGAGAACTGAAACTTTTCCGACCAAAACCAAAACCTTTCTTTTAATAGACTGCAATATTAGATAATAGCGCACTTTAGCTTCTACATTTGTTGCCGCTTGGACGCTGTTTCGCTGTGCTCTCTTCCTATCGCAACGGTCAGTATCAAAAATGTAAATGTTCTTGAATTGGCATGATTAGACTGCCAAGTAAATTGTAGCCGCAAATGTCAATTGAAATAAAAATGAATATTTAGTATTACTCGGCTGCCTAGTCATTACAGATTCGGTATTTCAGCATCTATGCAATCAGAAGTCTTCCCCTTCAATACGCGATTTACGTAAAGTGTTTCATTCTGTTAACAAAATACAAAATTTATTCTGTCAACAGATAAGACATCTGCATTCCTCACCAGTGCTGGGATGATGTGTGTCGACGTGAGCTTATTAATACACCACTATTCGCTGCAATTGTAAAAACACTAAATAAATTGTAAAAACACTTGATTTATAGCAATGAAATTTATTTGCGAGATGAACTGTGGTACAAAATATAAATCAGAAATACTCAAGGGAGGTGAATTTCCTTCAAGAGAATAACTTCATGGTTTCAAGGAGATTAATACTCGATCACACACTGGTATATTCCAACTACCACAATTAAAAAAAAAAAAAAAAAAAAAAAGGCTCACGGCAAAAATGGTTAAATCCTAACAAAGAACAAATGTATATGCTAAACGTAGGCACCGTTAAGGGCAGCGAAACTGACGGAAACTTCTCTCTAGTTATATTTACCAAATATACAGAGAATCTATATTAATACATAAATTCTCATTATATTTTACAATTTTCAAGTAATAACGAAAATTGCTGTTAAATCAGGAGTATTGTTAAATTAAGGATGCCTTTTAATTTAATTTTAAAATGTTAAATTAAGGATGCCTTTTAATTTAATTTAAAGTATTATATTAAATAATGCTAATTTTTGTTTCCTTACTTATGAGTTCTTCTATATTTTTATGTATCGCCCTGATCAGTACAGTAAATAGCATATTTTCAGCATATTGTCAAGTTGAAAGAGAGAGTTTGGTAGTAGGAAAAATGGGAGGATGGATGCGTTCTCCTGGGAATTCTCTTTCAAAATTGGTACAGAGATGAACCAATTCGCACTGTCACCTGTAAATTGCTCAAAGCCCATCCAATGACAGACACAATCCTGCGCTCCTGGTCACGATAAAATTCGTGGACTTGATATGAGGATACTGTCAGGCAAATGAGTAGTCACTACAAATATTTTTATGCATTATTTGTAGTAATTATTTTAACCGCATACATACGTCGAAAATATTATTTTATAAATTTTTTTAATACAGCTCTGCTTCATCTTGCCTTTTTTAGCCATTGACTTATCAACAGTAGAGAATGAGTTGGAAACAATGTTCATCCAATCAAAGTTCCACCACATCATTGTTCATCCTATGTTTTTTACAAGATTGTAAGGCTCTATTTGTTACTGATGTGACTTCCACACTTTTATCCCACCTTCACTTTCGGACTCGAAATGATTGCGGACTCACTGCTGTTTCACCAAAAATCGCTTCCAAGGATTGAGACACGAATTTCAACTTGTTAATCAAAATTTATGCACTTAATTTTCGTAACTAGAATGTGTTGCTACACGTGCATTTATCGCTTCATGTCTTTCTTAAAAGCTCCTACAAACGTGAGAGATAAGAAAACCTCTAACAAAATTTCAAAACAGCGAAACTTATTTTACATGGAATTTACCTCGTGTTTCAGTAGAACTGACGAGCTTCATATGACTTAGGAAGCAATTAGTTTTATAAAAAGCTATTACTAAATCGAGAAAAATCTTTCGCTAAATCAGAGATATCTCGACTTCTTAGCTAGATCAAAGTAAACAATCATTAATTAAAGTGTTGAGAACCACTCGCATAAATGGTTAAACATGCAGCTCTGTAACTGTCACTCATTCTCTATAGCTTCTATACGCATCCACTATTATTTAATAATGACTACAGTGCTGCCTGAGTAGGCTGCTTATCCCTAAATCATATTCTGCATGCTCTCCGTCGATCGTAAATCGGGTAAGTAAGCCTGCCAAAAAGAAAAGTTAGATACTGAGCATTCAGTAAATATTGCGCACTTTAGAGATCCGCCAACCTTAGGGACGATTTTTTTCCCTTTTGAAAGAGAGTATAAACGATAAACTGAAGGAAAGGTATAGCTTCACCCTTCCACGATGCCTGTAATGTGTTGTTAACTGTTCTTGCGATACGTACACGCATGAATGAAATTCTATACCATTAAACGATTATGCTTATATTACGGATGACTGCGCCAGTGTTGTATGTTTCATTATAAAAGTCCAGGTTACCATGAAACGCAAATCTCCCCCCCCCACCTTTTCTGATGTGAATATTCCAGCTCCACAGCTCTTACGACAGCATGTAGAACCTTCATCTAATCACTGTTTCTACGTAACCATAACTATATTTAAGCTCTTCATAGGGACATGCGGCAGAGAATATTACTGTATAATACAGTATCAATTCTTAATAATTAATCTTACAAGCTTTGTCAGCTGAACCTTTAGACTCGCAATCGAGGATATTCATGTACTAACAGCACTAAACACGTCGAGTTCAAGAACAGAATTAGTGGAATTTTTAGTACTTTGAAAATTATCTTAGTTTATTACTAGAGATTTTAATTAAAATGTTAATTACAAAAGTTTTTAATTTTTTAATACTTCCGAATTTTCGGCCAATGAAGAGGAATACGTTCCTTCGCGGTGCCGAAATTTCAGTATACAGGAACGTACCTTCTAAAGAAGGAAAAATTTCTTCTCTTTAAAATAAATAAATAAATAAATAGGATATATGTTGCAAAGTTATACAAGAAGCCATACGCATGCTATTAAAATAAAATACAGAAAGAGTAAAAAAATGACATAAACATACTTAAACAATCATGTCCAATCACGTAAGTATTATCATCGTTTTTCCATCCTAAATTCGAGGACAAATCACGAAGACGGCTTAAATTCATAACAGTCAAGTTCATTTCGGCAACTGCAAAAAAAAAAAAAAAAAAAAAGCATTAAAAAAACAGCATTTTACGCACATTATTAATCATAAAAAACTATAAAAGAAAGCTACATAATTCGTTTTATAGAAAGATCACTCATGGCCCAAAAAAAAAAAATCTTGCAAAATAGGAGTCTTGAAACCATACCTCAAGTATCAAAGCCATTAGATGTAGACAGAATTCCCTTTTCACATAGCTAACTTAAATATTTAGACTGCTTTGAAAGCAACTAAACAATTTATTAAGTTTTAAGAAATACTGTAACCTACAAAAACGGTTCTTTTTAATTCACCAATAAAAAGGATTCCTACCAGTCACCAACACTTTTTTTCAGCATTTTCAATCACACGTTAATCTTACAGCTGAAAGTTCAGTTAGTTTTTTTATTGGGAATAATTTATGCTACAACACTGGCAGAAGAAATACACAAGAATCTTTACTTGCATGTTGAATAATGTTACTTTTAAGCGACCTTTGATTAAATATCGCTTATTGTACTTACAGCGCCATACAAGAAAAAAAGCATACAAAACAAGCTTCGACCCTCAGTGAATTAATAATTCATTCTCTTGAATAGTTAGTTATAAAAAGTCTCGAAGTGAAGCATATCTCGAAATTCGTGCCATTAAATTGGAATGAATCAATAGCTTTATTAAGAAAAAATCATTTGAAAGGGACTTTCGTAGAATGCACGCCACGATCTATACTCGTGTGGAAAATTAAGAGAATTTGCACATTATACCCTATTTTTGAAAAACGAATAAACATATTTTTAATGAAATTTGGTATGAATATGCATTTATAACAGAGAAAGACATGTACCATTCAAAAGTCATTTTATGTACGCATGATTATCAGTAAAACTCATAGTTCAGGGATGTCCAAAGACCACATTGTGATATCGAACTAAAAATGAGTCTAATATGAAGTATGGTTCGCTCTCACAGCCAGACAGGTCGCATACTGCAACGGCATACCGGAAAGGAGGCACTTGAGGAGTCCTTGCAGCAGTCGATCCCATTCTTGCAGCAAGGCAGTTTTCAACTCTCAAGGATGGCTCTCGGAGAGGGTCGCGAGATGAAATTGCCCTCTTAAGAGCATCCCAAACATGCTATACAGGGTTAAAGTCAGAAGATATGGTTGGCCAATTCATGCGTCGAATACTTCAACTTTAAATGTAATCGTCGACCACTTAAACCTGATGTGGACGAGGGTTGTCGCCCATTAACAGAAACCACGGACCAACTGCGCCCCTTAAAAGTCGAAAACAGGGCTTTAAGTTCTCCTGTCTATACCTCATAGCAGTCAGGTCGCCTATGTTAAACAAATGCTGGGGTGTGTAAACAATGCAACATAATTGCCTGCCCAAACCATAATAGATAGCCTAGTGTTAGCTCACAGCATGTACAATAAATTTCCGAGAAACTGTAATAACCGAACTGGGTAAGGATCCTGAGTTTGGAAGCATTTATGAGTATTTAAAGGATCCTGAAAATTTTAGCCACCAAGATATTGTGGCGATAAGAAATAGGTCGGCTCATTACGAACTAATGATGGTCTATTATTCTATACAAAAACTACGAATTCCAACAACGAATTTCGACCTGTTATCCCAGCTAGTCTTAGATTAAATATCCTGCAGGAGCTCCATGACAGCCCTTTAGCTTCTCATGCTGGTATTCGAAAAACTATCCAACTCGTACGCGAGGCAGTCTATTTTCCTGAACTGCAAAAGTTAACAAGGGCGTATGTCCAGTCCTGCCCAACATGTCAAGCAGTTAATTATATTAATTTCAGCCCGGCCGGGTTTCTAAATAGTATTAAATCCGAATTTCCAAATGAAATAATTGGCATCGATTTATTGGGCCCTTTCCCAAAAAGTCAGTTAAATAAAAGTCGCTATCTCCTTGTTATGGTTGATCATTTTAGTAAGTGGACCGAAATTGTTCCCTTAAAACAAGCCTCCGCGAAATTAGTTACTGATTCTATTTTAAATAAATATATTTTAAAATACGGGGCGTCCCTAAAAGTTATATCGGATAATGGTCCTCAATTTGTAAGTAATGTATTTGAAGACATGTGCCAAAAACTGGGCATACGTCATTTAAAAATGGTCCCGTATCGGCCGCAATCAAATATAGCGGAACGGGTCAATAGAAATATAGTGAAAGTTATCCGTAGTTATGTTAAAAATTTTCATAAAAGCTGGGATAACTATGTCAATGAATTTGCTTTCGCCCTTAGGACCGCAAAACATGATACAACGGGCAAAACTCCTGCTGAGTTATTTTTAGGGAAAAATATTATAACGCCGTTAGATAAATTATTTTATGTGCAACAAAGAGCCCCAGAATTTAAAATGGGTGATATAGAAAAACTAATTAAGGAAGGAAAGAAGAATACTGAAGTAGCACAGAGAAAACAAAAACTGTATTACGACTTGAAACGACGGGGAGTAACTTATAAAGTAGGGGATGAAGTTTTAAAAATTAAGCATTCACTTTCTTCAGCACCAGAAGATAAAACTGCCAAATTTTTTCCACGATTTGAAGGACCATATGTCATAGAAAAATAACTCACGCTGTAGTAGTGTTAAAAGATAGAAATGGTGAAACCTGCTCCGCAAACATTGATCAAATCAAACCCTACTATGATCGTAATAAAATGCAAATATTTACAGATCTTTTGCAGGATCCGGCACGGCAGACACCGCAGGCACAAGCTCCAGAGGTGGAACAACGACAAGTACAAGGGCAAGCCATTAAGAGGCAGGAGCAAGTGAAAAGAAAGTTTCCCCGCGGGAAAATTGAAGGTAGCAAGAAAAAGAAGCCGTTCCACCGTCCAGAAAAGAGAGCTCACGAACACCCCCAGAATGAAGAAGGGAGAAGGACGACGAATGCAAAGAGAGCCAGGAGAAATGACGGCAACTATAACCCGGCTCTAAAACGGAAGATCTACTCATCCGACAGGACTCTCCGCAGCAAATGTTGCCGAACTGCGGAAGGGCCATCAGCGGCGGAGGAAAAGTTACAAGGAAAATTCGAACGGCCAGCAACGAGGTCCAAGCAGGAACACGAAAGAAGTTTCCCGGTTCCGCCAAGACCAGCTGCCATCAAACGGCCAAGACGACAGGCAGAGGCGAAAAAGAAGGTATTCAAGGGTGACCAAACTGGAGAAAAAAAAAAGCATCTAGAGGAAGGCACTGAAGGGCGAGCCCGTACAAGAAGGAGGATAAATCAAACAACAATCTGCACTACCTTTCAGGACTGGGCCCAGAAAAGAATGTCCGAATATCACAAAGTAAAATTTTATGTTACTTTGCAAACTTAAGTTAATCTTTCATTCTTACTGCAAGTGGCAGATTTCAAGAAGTTTTACCTCATGCGAGGTCTACCTTTATCGCCAAAAGGGCGAGAAATGAGTTGTTACCGATTTTGGTATTATGTTTTTAAAGTACTCGTGCGTAAAACTAAAGTTGATGTATAATAGCGTTGTGTAAAGACTTAAATATTGTAAAATGTTATTGTATAAATATTATTTAAAACATTCTGGCAAGAAAGAAGTTTTAGTCTGAAAGACTTTTTGAAATGTATTATTTCAATGTAGAAAGAATTGGCACTTGCTTTGAAAAGAATAGAAGTTAACAATGCACTACTAATGTATGTTTTCAAATGTGTAAAATTAACGGCATGTTAATATGTTCTTATATACAAAGTGAACTGTTATTTTAAATGTTAAGAAATACCGTGATATGGTAAAAGTGAAAGTAATGTTAAAAAAATTTTTTTTTATTCGTGTGACTGTAAAAAGGCTAAATCATGGTGAATATGTGTTAAAGGTTGAATGATGTAGTTAGGCTCTCTGACGCTACACTTCAGAGTTAGCCACTTTCAGAATAGTACCTCAGGGTTTAGAGTTGAAATTAGGGTGTGTTACGAGGTCTTGGTATGTTGAATTTTAACACGTTAGTGTTTTGATTGTAGGAGGAAGTGTTGAACACATAGACATAAACACATTCGTGTTTGGTGTTCTTTTACAACACATGTCAGAGAGCACGGGGAGAGATAATTAAAATAGTTATGAATGAAATAAGAATGTTAAGAGAAAAATAATTATACATGTTACTTGCCATTTCATTGTGTAACATTTCATTAAACTAGTTTTCCTTCCAGATCTCTGGAAGGAACCAGATTTGAATAAAAGCTCCTGTTTAGATGCAGTACAGATGAAAAAATTGTGTGTCCTGGGAGCTGCTATTGTAAAAACAAATTTCTTTCTTTTAAATTTCTAGTTTCTAGCGAAAAATGTTTGTGTAAAAGATTGGCCTCGCGTTAGATTCTAGAGCTAAAAGTTTTCAACAAGGTCGTTTTAGACCTCAGTTTCAAACTAATTAACTCTGGCGGGAAGTATGTAAGGATCTTAAGTTTTACTAACGTTTATTTTATTTTAAATCTTTACTATCACTTCTTATTTTCTACTTCCGGCCAGAATTATAAGCGTTAAAGTATTTATGCAAAGTTTGTCTGGCGAACGCCAAGTATTTAAGTTGTGGCTTTTTGCCAAGCGAGAGAGAGGAAGCAGTTAGTCGAAGCAGGCCGCTTACCTTAGAAGTTTTACTCAGTTGCTGGTTGCCTTCCAGGCCAGAGGTTTAATCCTCTCGATAACTTTAAACGTATTGTAGTGTTCACAGTTCTCTGTACTACATACGGCTTCCTGTTAATATAAGGCCAATCTTCCACGTTTATTATTTCAAAGTCAAATTAGAGTTTAGTTTTATTTTTATATTTTTACGTTTAGACCACAAGTAGTGGGTCTTTGTATTCCGAAGTACGGAAGTTATTGTAAATAGAGAAAAATAAAGGGTTTTGTATACCCTTCTTGTGTATCCTGTCTACTTCCCACAGTTATTGAACATAGCTTTAGTAAGCTCTCTTTTCCGACTCAGGTCCTTGCATGTTCCCGATGAAGTTAAGACGGAACATTG